AAAATGTATGGCAAAAGAAGTGGATTTAGGGAACCGTTCTACAAACAGCATTGTTTCAGCTGAAGCCTGCCTTCAGGCTGTCAGCTGAAGTTCTGCCTGCCTGAAGGCTCCACCGTTGCTGACAAGTTCAAAAACTATTGAAATCGAACCTAGCTAAATCATTATGAATGCAATGAAAGGGTTTTTCAGAGCAGAGGAAGGATTTGACAAGATACTAAAAGGCGAAATCACTCCGGTTAAAGAATTGAATGGCATTAAGACTGCACAACGGTATTTAATGACTGTGGACAATGTAGAATAAGGCGTGAAGACACGAAAATATTGCAATTTTTAATTCTCAAGATTGGATATTTTATTACACCTCTGAAAGAATAACCCCAATGAGAGTTAAAACAAACTATTAAATTTAGAGGATAGCTGATATAGTAAACCTCCGAGGACTAACATTTTTGGAGCACTGTATTACAGTCAACTGTCTAACGTTTGGTTTGCTCTGTTGAAAAAAATATGAAATACATCTATCATCAATTTTATCATTCAAATAATCGATTAAAGTATTTCAATTGAAGCCTTGAAAGTATTTATAAGAATACGGCACGTCAGTTGGACACACCAGAGCCAAACCTGTATGAAAAATCTTGGTTGCACCACTGCCGGACACGTCAGGAATATACACTTCCTTTATCCGTTCGATCCTGGGCCGGCCATCCAGTCTAGGGTTTTTCGTGGTTTTCTTGGGTAAGGCCAATGCTGGGATTGTTCAAAACCCCCATGATCACCTCTCACAATCATCTATCACCCCATAATTCATTAATAATAATAATAATAATAATAATAATAACAACAACAACAATACCCAGGAGGGAAAGCAACGGGAAACTACCCTGATTATATCCTCCAAGTAAATCCATCATGATGTGCCCTAAATACCGTGGAAGCCATCTAGATAGGTGACCTAACTTCCGTTTATGGAAGAACAGCAGCAAAGAAGAGATGATCTTAACAGCCGCCCCTGATCCCATGCAGCACCGGGACGGACAGTGTGTGCGGGGAAAGGTGGCTGCGGAGGCGCCGCGCCGCCTGCGGCCCAAAATAAAGGGCGGCGACGCCGGCGTCGCGTCGCCACGCACGCCCGCGCCCCGCCCGCCCCCCCCGCGCAGCGCCTGCCGCATTCCCGCTGGGTCAACGCGACGACGCCTCCGCGCCAGAGCGCCCGCTCGCTCCGCCCTCAGACGCAGCCACAGACTTCATCTCCTGCACTGCTCTTACCGAAATTCCCTATCGTGCAGGGCCAATGTGCAAGGCGTTCGCCTCCTCTGAACCTAGCTGCAGACGGCCGATAGCAATGACGAACGAGTGAACGCCCCGACCTACTGCCGCGCACGATACAAGTAAGCTCGATATAACTTTCACTTTAAACCGACCGCCTGTCACTGATAGCTCCTTCAAAGCATCTGGCACGCAGTGTGCACGGTTTCGACAATTATGAAAGGCAATCAATCAGAATGAAATGCACAAACTAATCCGCACAAAACGTTAATTTGACACGAACATAAATTATAAAGAACAAAACGAGTTCATTAAAAGTTTCAGGCGATTACCAAGAATACGAACGAAGATTCAGACACCCCAGTAACATACACTTTGAATTACAAGAAACAAAGAGAAACTGTTAACTAAATTATTACGTAATAAGTGTTGAATTAAAATGTTATTTCAATAACCGGTTATTGTGAGCCATTACAACTGCCAGGTTAAACCGTATAAGGCAAAGGCAGAATAGCGCAGTGCGCGTGGGAGGAACAGCGGGCGGAAAAGGGCGCTGACCGGGTATCTCCCCGAGCGATATCGCCCGCGCCCCGGCGCCGAGGGGTAAGTCGGGCACGAAGCGCCGTCACGCGACATCACGCACGCACACACGCGCCCCCGGTCACGCGCCACGACTCCCAACGAGGCGCCCGTGCTTCACTACGGGCGAGATACTCCGGGCAGATTCCCCAACTATTGAGAGCTACCAGCCGTCGAGCGCCCGGCGGCCGCTAATAAATGGTTTAAAAAAACAACAACAAAAAACACTGTACTCATATCTACAGATATGAGTCGTGGGTCGTCAACTAGCAACTACTGCATTTAAAGATGAAAAATGCTGTCATGAAATTCAAATAACGGCAAACAGAACAGTGCGCTTGAAATAAAATTGTCCGCACGGCTCAGTTCCTAACTGGAAGGAGGGATAGATTAAATGGACACATACCTGAAAATAGACATATAAAAACTGATTGATTAAGATGTAAAGTGATATCAACCACACAACTTTTAAAGTCATTTGATATTTTTAATCTCTTTACATCTTAATCATTATGGAGTATCTCAAGGTCCCCGCTGTCACCACGGAATTTAAGACACCTTTACTTTTCGACCGTTGTTTTTGGTGCAATTCTGACATGTTTCATAATCACAGAAGACAAAACGAGAGAGTGTAGCCGAGAAGAAATTTGTAATAACTGAAAAAAAACTCTACTTTCTGAGCTATTTTTGTGAAAATGGCATCCGTATGCTAAAACCGAATGTTTCCATAAACTTATTATTTCTGCATTAGTACGAGTGACATTAATATTCACGTTCGATATGGGACTGATGTGTCAGTTCTTTTTTTCGTTACAGAGAGCTACGGGGAAGCGCAAGGGAGAAAATCTGGTCTTCGCCCCCCACCCCCTCGGAGCAATGAAGTGGTGCGAAACCGCGAAACCGGAACTATCGGGATTCAAATCCCGTCGGGAAGTCCGGGAGAAACAAAAAAATAAAGGATAGAGAGAAGAGGTGAGAAAGAAATGAGGAAGAGAGTATATTGCGAATGGGCTAACTATAGAGGCCTATGGGCAAGGAATGAGAAGCAGGTCACAAATAGCGTTCCACTGCAAGAGAGAAGGTGACGGCTGGCGACAGTTGAAGTGTCAGGGGCGGCAAGTGAGCGCACCCACGCGTCGCAGCGGCAGTCAAAGTTTTACGCGCGTCGTAAAGCCCCCGGCCAAGGGGCGGGCGGAAATCGCCGAGAGCTGCCGACCTCCAATGAGTGTTTTCGTGACCGCACCATGCCGCTTTTTGCTCCGCCTTTCTTCATTAGCACTTTCCCCTGCCCCGCTTGCCACCTCCGCCAATGGTTAATTGAGACTTATCGCCAACCTAAGGGTCCGACGAGTACCATCATGATGGCATTATTAACTGATGTGCGTAACCAAACCATTGTAAAATCTACACAGAATCTAATTGAAAGTGCTATTGTCGTTTGTGTGTGCTGAACCAGTCCATTTTGGGACTCATTAATTTCTTCCTTACACATACAAATAAAATTAACCGCATCCCTAACGACTCCATTTTAGAAATTACGTAGCTATTTCTTCGAAAGAAAAGAAATATAGTGCATTTTATAAAGAAAAAATAAGCTTTCATTGCCTTTGTTACTTTATTAAAAACACCTGAAAAGCAATGTACTGGCTACCATCAGGGTTCGCTGGTTTGAATCGCTATGTAATAAACCATGGACAAACCCTGAATTTTACCAAAAATCATATTTTAACGGGAAACTTCATCTACACGAAAAGCACCATTTAAATAGAAAACTGGGTTACACCAAAACCACGAACCTTTGGTTTTTATTTCAATACTCGCCGTTTTTCTTTCAATTCTCGGCGCAATAAAAATAATTTTCAGTTTGTCTCTCGACATCATTTATTGATTATTAGTGATTCCAGCGCCTCAATTATTGTCATTAGTCCGGTAAGTGCAGTGCATGTATTTTGCACGTTACGTGGCTGTGGTCTTCCTCTGCTGGGTGGCGAGACCCGGCACCGACCTACCGTCGGCAAGCGGGGTTTTTCCCAATCAGGTATCTCCCTCCAGTGGGGCACAGCCCCACCTGGGAGAAGGTCTTCTCTCCCGACCGGTCTCCTGGCGGTAGTGCCGTGCATGTAAGTGCGTGCGTGTGTGTAAGGGGAAAGAATAGGACAAGGAAGAGGAAGGAAATATCGCGCGCGGTCCGTGGCTCATTTGTTAGGGTACTGCTCCAACATTCGCCTAGCGTTAATCGGAGAACGCACGGAAAACTGCCGATCAGGGCAGCCGGCCTCTGGAATTATCCTCCAGACAACAACTGAATTAAGCTAGACAGCCAGTGTTGAAAATCCTGCCACCGTCGGAACTCGAACCTAGGACCTCCGAGTCAGAGGGACTGTAGTGACACTAGTTGATGCCCTGAGCCATCTCTCTCTGTACCTCGACGTAAAGTTACGACCCCTAAACAGTACGCGTACCAAGAAAATCTGGGTGCACGAGGGCGCGAAGCAAAAGGTTTGCTCCTAAATTAGAGTCCAGCCTCTCCTCCTGCTGGCAGCGCGCGTAGACGGAGAGGCGAGCGGACTGACAGGGGCGGCCCCAGGCTCCAGGGCGGCCACCCGCGTCGACGCGCCGCGTCTCCGCTAATTTATGCACGACGTCCCTCGCCTCGCCTAACCTCGCCTCGGCGGCAGCTGCTACAAGCGCAGCGCCACTTGTCGCCCTGGCGGCAGTAGCAGCGAGTGCACGCCAAAGGGCTACAGGGAGGTCCCGCTAATACTACGCAAGCACGCTTAAGAATGGACGGACAGATCCAAATCTTTTAGCACAGAAATACGGCAATTACACGAATGGAAGTCAGGACACCGCTAAATTGCTTGCGGAGACTCCATATCATTCGCAAATAGCAAGATTTGCTTGTGCATCACCGCCGAAGGCGGGGGACGCGTCCCTCTAATATTGTTTGGTGCATGCGTTACATTGGACATGATTTTCCACTCATCTAAACCTTATCCTTTCAATCATCCTTTCGATATATTTTTGCCCTGCTGACGCACTGTTGATACGAGTCGTTGGTGTTCAATACTCAACTTCTAGATTTCTCTAAAGACAATAAATAAACTTCACTTATAAACAAACTTAATGAGTGCTGGTTGGAAACAACGCACGTCGTTTCTTTCCGGATCTGCAGCCGAAATCCCTGTCCATGTTCCAAGCCAGCCGACTCCAGTGACCAGCCACCGCCATTACGAAGCCCGGTCGTGTCACGTCCTCCCGTCGACGCCAATAAACGCGCACACATCGCTCAAGCGAGCGCTGGGCGCTGAGCAGGTCCCGCGGCCCCTTCGCTCGCGGCTCGGCTTCCCCCTAGAGGGCGCGTCGCCCCCCCCCCCCGCTACGCGGACAAAGGCGCGGCACGGCGCGGCGCGCGCGAGGGAGTGGACGGCCCTGCCAGGCCCTGCGCCCGACACCCGCCGCGCCGGCGCTGGAAAACGTCGCAGGAAATTAATTTATTGTAGCGCAGCGCCCCCGGCGCGACGAAGGCGCTTTGTGCGCGGCGCACGCGCCCAGCAGGCCGGCGGAGGAGACGAGGCGGCGCCTGAGAATCCGATCGCAATCGCGCGCCAGCCCACAAAACGCCACGCGCGAGTTGAATTAGTATCCGCGAAAAAACGACGCGGGACGGGAAACCGATCTTTTCCCCTCAGCAACAGACTATACAACACCGTGCGGCGATTTCTTTGCTTCGGAACTCACCTTAGAAAAACAAACAACACACTCATTCCGTATGTGTTGCAGACAGGGCAACTAATAGCTAACTGAAATTTAAAAAAAGTGCAAGTTCTCCAATACTTTTTTCTTTAGTAGTAGAATGAGGAAAGCTTGGACTGTTATCAGTTATGTCGCCACAGGCGAATTATCGCAAAACAACAACTTCGTCGAAAATCAGTCGCTCCATGCGTCGAGGTCAACGTTGTAACAAGCCGTGTCATCGCCAGAATTTGTACGTCTCATCATACTCTAAAGCTGCAGGCAATTCGTCTTACCGATTGTTTCGTAATGCACAGGCAAACGTTGGCCCTTACGAAGATGCATACGGAAAACTGGGATAAATATTAGACGTTGCGATGGCCCATATTTCTAAAAACGGTACGTGATACTATAATGGTGACAAAAGTAGCGGAGGCTTCATTACAATCCGCATATGATCGATTTTGTTCTTAATTTCGAGAGACTATGCATCGATAACCCTGTTGCATAAATGTATTAAATGCGATGCCCTTCTTCAGAGTGGACATTAGTATCTCGTCCTTTATTCTTTTACGAGACTGCCTGCGGATATTACATCATTCTCAGAGAATCTTCTTTGCCTTATTTTGTCCCATTAGCTTCTCTGACCATACTACAGCCACCGTTATTGGTACACTGGCAAATGCGAAATGAATGTCTACATGGAATGCTTGGTGAAAAGTCACCAATTCCTAAGAAACGTGTTCGTAGCTCATTCGCGAGCGCCCATTAGCCCGCAAAGGACGCGAGAGCCGGCATGCAGGAAGCGACTGGCGTGGTTCTTCGTGCCCACCGGGTCGTTACAACCAGTGGAGATGCACGGCGGGGAGGACGGCCGTATGAACCAATGGAGAACTGCCTGCGCATCCAAACAATAATAATGAACACAACTAAAAACACCTACAAAATCGTGTTGTGGTTGATATTAATGTTATGTACTATTGCGCAGACGTCTATTACCTTTTACCAAGCAATATTTTCCCTTAACTTCCTCGCGCGGGGCTTAGCGAGATCGTGCGTAAAAAAAAGGCACCTGGAGGCCGTCGAACTGCCAGGAAAGGTCGGACGCGAGGCGGCGCTCATTTGTCGCCGTCCGCGCCGAGTGCCACGTGCAGCGGACGGTCGCCCGGCGCCGCGCGCCGCGCACGCGTAAACACGGAGCGTAAATAACGCGGAGAGACCCCGCCAGCGCCGCGCCGCCGTTCTGGATTTCCAGCCGTGATTTACGCCGCCAGTCCTCGGTTCAACGTTTTCAGAATAAACTCGGGGGCGCGCCGCGCCGCGTAGGAAGAAACCGCTGCCAGGCGCGCCTCCGTACGCGTCTGCGGCCACTCGCTGGGTGGCGTTGCTCTTAACCCGTTGACTGCCACGTGTGTAAGTCTCAAAATGCCAGGCCACGCCCTCTTTTTTTGCTACTCTAAGAAGCGTAACTTATGCATCAGAAGTACACACACGGCCTCGCCTGGCGAAAAAAATCTGTATCGATTTGATAATCATCGCCGTCTAAGGATACCTCGAGATCGCATCAAGATGCCAAGTTCCTAACTAAGAATAAATTGTTTTCATGATTTCCTTCATTAGATTTGGAGTTAAGTCTTCACTTTTTGACATACATAGGACATTCACTGTTCTCCATTACACTTGTAAAAATATTCACTTCTCGTTTCTCCCCTTAGAGCACAACATTTAATGTATTCTAAATCAACCGTTATCAAGCCGTGACGAGAACGTGATAGAAAAAAATACGAGAACTCTCTTCCTCTTTAAATACAAAAGACGACGATTGCAAGGCAGAAAAAATAGTCATTTTCTGACATTCGATGCACTGGCACTAAGCACGAAGTGTCAACAGAGAGATAAGGGTTATCGTAGTACACATTTCAATAGTTTGCAGAGGAAACTGGTTTGACTAACTCAGTTGCACGCTGGAGGAAAATGTGTATTTCTGCGTTAAGTCCATTACTTCGCTGCTGTATTTCTCTGAACTTTCACGTATGTTTCATAACGCCAGATGTTCAGAAGAGTTTGGTTGTGAGAGTTATGAAATATTTCACAAAATATAAGTATTGCGCGTTGAGAACGATCACGTAGAAAATTTGAAGAAATGAGAATCTGTAATAGTTTTGATAGAGATTTTTTCCATGTGTATAGATTGTAGAACTTTCATAATGTAGTCATTTTACAACGAACATTGATCTACGACAATGATTTTTATTTCCAATAAATCAAAAGGAGATAAATATTGAACAAAATATTGATATAATCTAGTTGAACGTCTTGAATGACTTGCAAATGGAATAACTGTTGCAAGTAAATTATTGAGACGTGCCAGAAGTATTTCATACTCAAAAGCTTCAGAGTTTAATATACACAACGTTTGCATTGGCGTTGCTGCTTACAACGAAACACAAAGCGCCACAAAAGGATCCCGAGTTTTCGTTTGGCGACTGCTCCCGACTATGATTATAAAAGCGCTCGGTCGTGCTACAAAGAAAACGCTGCGTCACAAAATAAGTGTTCGTTCTCGTCCTCGTTCTGGTTTCCGCAGTAATGTATGAGGTTGGGGAATAGCGAATGCAATATATAGGGTCAGCGATGCAACGCACTTCGGCAATAAAGAATTGGCCCCGTTGAAGCAGCTCGGGCAGCGACAACAACTTGCGCTGTGAGATCCAATTAAACGCTGCGCTGATCAATGGGAGGCGGGGGGCTGCAGAACGCAAGCGCGCGTCCACAGCCTTCGCAGTTCTAAAGTTCTATTCGACGAAGAGCTCTGGGTGATGATTATAGGGCAAAATGGCCGTTCCTAGACCATCACACGCAGTGATGTCAACGCTTGATGTTCACTCCGCTGTCTGTATTGACCCTCTGATCTAAACCGCCACGCAAAGGCCTACGCCGACGGTGGCCCCATTGGTTCGATCGCTCAGTTAAGCCGCGCCAAATGGCGTTATGCCGAAACCCGTGAGATACATCGCTCCCAGTCCTCCACCTCCCCAACCCCACCCACACCCCACCAACGTTTCAGCTGCCTGTGAGAAGCGCTCGGCTGGGTAATGAGTCAACGGTTATCGATTGTCTAGATATGATTCGTACGGCGCGAGGGCTAATACATTTCAATTTGCAACACGAGTTGTCCTCGTTAACCGCGCATTGCTCCTGAGAACCGGCTCTTGCCTCCCCGACAGGGCGGGCCACGTCCGCCCAGCGCTGCACAACACGCAACAGGCGACGCACACAAGTGAACGGGGAATAAAAATATCGAAGTTCCGTTTTTTCTCTGCAATGGGTCTTCTTGAAACTACTTAAAGAGAGTGTTGCCACAAATGTCAACGTAGTTAACGGCGGGGAAAATGTAAAATTAGGGTTTTCACTGCTGCACAAATAAGTTTTAAATATTATTATTATTATTATTATTATTATTATTATTATTATTATTATTATTATTATTATTATTACATCATTAACTTAAAAGACAAATTTGTGTGTCAATTAATTATTACATGTATATGATTAAACTGACAAATCGTATTAAAATATGACATACGAAACACTCAATTTTTAATGAAGTTACTTTGATTTCACTCAGAAAATGAAGATTGGAAATGGAACATTCATCGCATGGTGATATTGGAAATTTCTGCAAGAGATTACAAAAATGGGATAAGGCAAAAATAGCATATGTATTTTTGAATGGCCTTGTATAAATAAAAATAACAATGGAAAAGAGTGATTTAGGTCATTATCGAATGTAATAGGTATGGCGAGAATTAAATTGTGTGTGACTGAAAATTTCATATTCACTTTGGCAGTCGCCGCTCGCAATACGAGGACTATCTCGTTGCCTTCCCCCCGCGCCAAGCACACGGCAACCACGTGGCGGGCGGGGAAGATGTGTGTGTGTGGGGGGGGGGGGTTGAGGGGTACGGGACGGAGCGGCCATGATGCGAGGGACGCGGAGGCAGAGCAAGAAACGCGGGGGCAAGGGGCGCTACAGTGGTAACGGATGGGAACTGGTTATACGAAATGGCAGCGGAGACAGCGGCTGTCGTACCTGCACCACAGCTGCGCCCAGGCAGTTGGGCGATTATTATTTGAGGCACGTCTTGGAGCTCCCCTATTAATGCAGAATTTGTAATAATGAGTGTGGCAAACCGCAACATGGGCAGCGATTTCAGTTTTTAACGCATGGACGCCAACATCATCCCTCTATTCGTGCAGGTTTTAGCAACGCAGAATTATCACAGTACACTAATTTCTAAATACATAATCATATGTGGTTAGTTCATAAGAATTGAGATTGAAGCTTTATTGATTGTAGAATCATTGGCAATCAAAAACTATAAACGTTGAATTCCATCAGTTCGCTTCCACAAAACCATGTTCTCCTACATAGATAAACGATTGTATTGGCTGAAGTTGTTTGCAGCGTTAAACTAGGGCGAGTGAACGACGCCCCCTATGTGTAGGGTGCACAGTTCGTGTAAAGGGATGGTTTTACACAAGACGTCA